AAAAGAAAATTTACATACTTAAGCACTAATAGTTCACGAAAATAATAATTTTCATGAACTATTATTACTTAAGTATGTAAAAATTTATTACATTTCCTGTTGTACGAGGTTTTTACCCAATTCTCGAACTGTGTCAGAGTAAATCCGTGCTATAAAAGTACCGTGTTATACAGGGGATGGTACCAATTCTCGAACCATGTTAGAGTGAATCCATGCTATAGAAGTGCCGTGTTATACGGGGGTTACCTGTACAATAACACACACACACACACACACGTGAAAGGTGTGACTTTTTCGTATTTTTTGAGTGTAATTTTATTCCAATTTTTAATATATGTTTACCACAACACATTCAAAATTTAAACGAATATGCATTCTTTTTAACTGATCTGTTAACACCTTTATGTGAATATGTTGGAAATTATTTTAACATGTCTATGAATGTCTTTTTAAAATATTTTTCCCTTCCACAGTAAATAAATAAGTTTAAAAACACAATATGTGAAATGTTGATATTATAACATTATAATTTTTCTTTTGGAATGCAATTTATTTTTTTTTTAATTTCTAGAAAGTTTTCGAAGTTGTACTAATTCTGTTAGAATATTGTTTAAGTGATGAAGGCTTAAAGTATGTAAAAGTACTTTTTTGACAAAAAAGATTATAACGTTGTTCTGTTTATTACATCAAGTTTAAAAAAACATTCACATAGGCTTATGGAAATTTTTTCTTTCATTGAAAGTTAATAAAAATTTCTAAATAAATGACATAAAAAGGAAGTCAAATCTGACTAATTTACTTAGTTTTCTTTTTTAAAAAAAAACAAGAAAGTGGCCAAAATAATAATGACAATTCCAATCAATAGGACCACTAATTTTAAACCAAGACATCAAAGCTGTTGTCAATAACAAGATAGAATAAGGTTAATTACATGACAAGGGGTCAGAATAGGAGTTGCATCAGACATCTGTAGTGTCAATATACAAAATGTAGATTGGAGCTCTTTGAGTCAATGTAAGTAAAAGTCCAATCAAAAGCATGATTCTAAAAATCATGCTATTTTGCATAAAATGGTAAAATTCATTCTTCAGTAAAAATTTCACACTTTCTGTGATTTTTATGAAATTCTGATTTAGATAACCTGTAAGTTATATACACAAAAATACAGTAATAATAAATGTAATAAAGATAACTTTCATAATACTGTAGCTTATATTTATTAGTTTTATTTATGAATTTATCTTTAATTGTAATAAACATTTCTCATGCTTACTATAATTGTTGTTTTGAACCTTTTGCTAAAATTGAGAATTTCATATACTCTGTAATACATTAAAGTAAAAAAATTTTTTAAGAAATATTGAAATAAGAGTATCATTATTTACTCTAACTGTAAGTAATTTTTTTATGGTGTTTTAGTTAATATTCCAAAGCTTAATTCTTTATATTTAGGCTGCTTCTGTGCTAAATATTCATTGATTCCTAATTGTGCTTTTTAAATTCATTGTAAGGATTGAAATAATATCAAAGTTTTTAAGTAACATTAGCATGAATATAATTAAAAACTTAAAAATTAGTAACTGTTTAATTTTAATATGAACAAATATTCAAATTATATCTTTTTTGTGCTACAATGGTATCAGATTAAAGCTATATGATGTATTTTTCCAAAAGTACAGATGTTGCATATAGCTAGGACATATAGGCACTAAAATCATATGATTTTAGTGCCTATGTGTCCTAGCTTTAATAATCAATAAATAACTCTCTTGATTTCAATGATACTTTCTATCAAGTCATCGATAAAGAAAACAACATTATCACTTTGGTCACTATTAATGTAATAGGTTTACCACAGTGTACCGCAAACCCACTTACATCCCCCTATACATACCAGCCAACTCAGCTGACCCTTGATCATATATGGCAGCCACATTCCGCACACTAGTGACAAGAGCCCACTCACATTGTACGCAGCTCTCAGATACCAACAATGAGCTAGAACAACTGAAAGATATTGCATCCAGGCATGGGTACAACCACTGATTTATCAACAATATAACATTCATATATCAGGCTAGGTCAATCAACACCAATACTAATGTTAACAACACAGAAGGAAATCTGGTAGTCCTAAGCTACGAACTGTCTCTCCATCATATATACAGGAGGATTGCCAAGGATTTAAACATACTTATAGCATACAAAAGGAAGCCCATTGTGTTTCGCCTTTTGTCTAGTGTGAAAGATAGCATTGCTACCAGGCTGGTTTTCACCTGTATAAGCCATTTTTAAATTCGTGGTCTGGATTAATTATTAATTTGTTTGGTTTTCATAGAAATTGTAAAATTAAATTTATAAAAATATTTGCGAGTATTTTATTTTAACGGTTAAACATTTTAACTTTGCACCTCCACCCAAACTTATTCTCATCTTATCCCTAGGCTAAGAGTGACAGAAAATGTACTTTTAAAATTCTAACTTGCAAATATCTCTGACAAACATTAAGTCTGTTCCAACACAAATCCCTAACTGGTTTAAAACTGGCATGCACATTATTCAGTTCTTGGTTGTAAAATGACATTGCGCATGCCTCATACAGTTTCAAATTCAAACCAGTCAGGGACTTTTGTTGGAACTATCTAACAAAAGTCCCTGACTGGTTTGAATTTGAAACTGTATGAGGGACTTTTGTTGGAACTATCTAACAAAAGTCCCTGACTGGTTTGAATTTGAACCTATTATTTGGGTCAGCAATTTCAAAAAGGTGGCAACATTAGCGAAAGATGACTCTGAGGATGCAAGAGCACCACATCCCACTACATGATAGGTTCAACAGGACACTAACATACATTGGTTCCACATACAGATCATTACAAGCTATGTTATGAGATCACAAGTATGACATAGCAAAAGGAAACATCAATATGGCTCTGGCCCAATATGTCACTGATCTGGGGATTTCCCTCTTATGGGACAAGGCTACTCTAATACACAGGGTATTCAACAGACAACACATAAGAGCATTGGAGGCTACAGAAATTTACAGGGCCGACATAAGAGGAACGTGCATCAACATTGATTACATTCCCATACCAAATACACGGAAGTATTATTTGGACTCCTAAAGGAATATATATTGCTTATGATATGTCACAATCATTTTTCAAACTGATTTGAAACTTTTGAAAATTAGAATGTGGCTACATTCTATAAATAGAACAGTTATTTTTGTTTTACATTTCCTGAAGAAGGTCGATAAAGGAGTGGTTGAAAACGTTCAAATACTGAATTTGAGTGTTTTGTTGCTGGAAATTTTGTATTTAGGTGAAATTCTATATGTGATAAGTTTAATAATTTTCCATAATATTTATCTATTAATAAATTTAATACATATTTTTTAAAATTAGCAACATATTTACTTCATATGTTTATCTGTTATGACTTAAAATTTTTATTTTTAGATTAGTTTTATTTGACAATATTTAAATAAACACTATATAAAACAACCAATATTCATCAAGAAACTACAAAAATCTACAAAAGCATATGTTTTCATCCATGTTGAACTATCATCATCAGGCTTAAAAGATCTTCACAGTTTAAATTCAAGCTTTTAAAACAAACTGTTTGAAAAGAAGAATTACTCTGATTGGTGATTGCCATCCAAGTGTTAAAAGTGGAGTGATGTGAGAGGGAGGGGAAGAGATTGTAGAACAACTTCCACACGGGACGGTCCTTTAACTTTAAAGAAGTGGACTCCTTTCCCCAAGCATGTAGGTCTTACAACCCCCTTCTTCTTTTCTCTCTTATGTCATCTCCTTTTAGCACATGGATGACAATCATCTATCCTGAGTAATTCTTTTCAAAGCATTTGTTTTAACAACTGCATTCAAACTGAGTTTGTTTAGCCTGACAATGACTGTTCAACATGGATGAAAATGTTAGCTTTTGTACATTTTTGTAGTTACTTGCTATATATTGGTTTTTTAGTATAGTGCTTATTTACATATACACAGTTTGAGTTATTGAATATTTAAATATGATGACATGTTCTTTTCTGTGATTTTCAATTTATATATTTTGAATATAATACCCTAAAATAATTAGGTATAAAAACAGCAAAATAGTTTGGAATTTAAGAAATGCTTTCTTCTCTTGGAATTATTGTAAAATTTAGTAATTTTCAAAGTTGATCTCTTTCTTACTCTTAAATTAAAAGGAACAACATTCAGTTTTAATTGAAAACTTCTAGCATTACATTGATTAAATTTTTCACCTTAAAATCTACAATGCATAGCCTTCATGTTGCTATGCCAAATATTTTTTATTTATTTATAGTAGGATATTTTATTTTTTACTTAAAGATAGCTTATAAGATAGCTACTGATTAAACAATAAAGTTTGTGCACTTGCACAAAAATATCACTGGCTGTATAAATAAAACATAAATGAAACATTTCCATGTTTGTAGTAATCAAAAACAAAAATAAGACACAATAAGATATTAAAATCTGCATATTTGTAACTTCTGTGCTCTAATTTTTTAATTCAGTAATTATTTTATAAAATTATGTCAATAATTGTGTACATCGAGAATTAATGTTAAGATATTAATTTTTCATTCTAATTAATATCCCATGCCCTTTACATTTATTTCCATTTATGATATGACATTTTTATTTCTATTGATATTATTTATTAAGAAATTTAATATTCTGAAATAAAAATATACAGTATGTATAATATATTATGAAAATTTTCAAAATTTATTTGACATGTAGTTATTTATTGATTTAATATTTACTGAATACTGTACTACAGTTATAAAATTACTAGTTATTAAAATTTACATTATAAACTATCAGTTTTCATTGCATGAATAAATTCATTGTGATTAATTAGTAAGCTTCCTATATACAATTTTCATTTTACAATAAATTTGAGATTATAAAGACCTTTTACTTATTAAATAAAAATTTTATTATTTATTTTTATAGGCACAGGAAAACATTGCATAGTAAAAAATATGGAGTTGATCTTATTAGATACACACATGCAGCAAATACTGCCATCCATTGTTCTACGAAAGTTGATGGTAAGAATTTTTCAAATATCAGTTTATTTTTAAATTTAATTTGATATTGTTTATAATATTTTGTAATAATAAAAAACTTTTTATTAAATTATTTGATGATTTAATATTGAATTTAATAGATGTTGATATTCTCTAATCAGAACGCAATATTTAATACTAAACAAATATTTCTGAAGATCATTTTCTTCTTGTCACTTTTCTATTTAAGAATAAAATTCAACAAAAAGAAATAATACATTTCTGATAATGAACATTACATATTGAACATTATGTGCCAAACTTTTTAATTTGTTTTTCAAAATATAAAATTAAAATGTTTTCTGACATCTGTTCTAATAAATGAGACAAAGTAACAGTAACAATGTCAGGAAATAACAGTTAAACATAACTTTATTTCTACTAAATAAAAGAAAAACAATAAAATAGTAACAGATGTAAAATAGTATTTTATTGCCTATCACATTTTAATCAATAAAGATGAAATCTTTTTTCTAAACAACAACAAACTTTCTTATTATTTTCTTTTTTGTATTGATTAATAAAGTATAGAAAAAAATCCATTATATGTTGTTGTTGTGGCAACTCAAAGTGAGATATACTAGTTTGCATCAATATTTTAACATATTTAATACATAATTCAGTTTTACTTAGCAGGTATATTTAACATAGAATTATTTCATTAATCTTTAATTTGAAAATACTATCAATAAAATCAGTAAAATACTACCTCTAGTCCACTGCTTTGTCCACCCAAATCTAGGAATAAGCTTTGTGATGTTGGAAAGAATCAAAATCTTTTATTTGTGAATTTGTCTCTTTAATCCGATTTTCAGTTCGGTAGACTATCATATACAGCATTCAGGTTATGAATTTCCTTTATTGATTTGTTATATGCATTTCGGACTCAATTGTAATTTAAGTCCCTCTTCAGTACAAACTCAGATTCTGTTTTCTAAAAACTTCGGTGTATAATTGGTAACGTTGTAAAAGTATAAAAATACAGCCATTTAAAAAACACTTCAACTACATATTCACATTAATACGTTGCACACTTTACAAATGTTCATAAAAACCTTTACAATTACAACTTTTTTCAAGAAAAATTCGTATGCACTTTATTGAAATGTTGCAGCAATAATGAACGTTTTTTTCAGGTTAATTACTATTAACACACTTAAGAGGATACATTCACACTTTTACAATATATTTTACTTTAATATTTTATGTCACCAGACATTACAAACCAATTTATCTATTAGCGCCCTCTATTATATTATACCACATTTGATCTATTTGCATACCATTTGAAATGTTTATTAAATCATCTTTACATTTTATAATCTCTATATGTTCTTTAAATTTGCGTTTATACATATCTTTTTCTAAGTGAATTATTTTTATGTTATTTCTATCTATTTTACATTTACTATTTTTTATATGGTCGAACCACGGAGAATTATTATGTTTTAGTCTAATAGCTGCTTCATGTTCTTTAATTCTTAATTCTAAAGTTCTACTTGTTTCACCTATATAATTTTTCGGTTTTTGACAATCACAATTAATTTTATATACTACACCTGATTTTTTTAAATTATCCACTTTTATTTTATATTTATTATTATTATTATAAATACTACGCGAAATTTTATTGGTCAAAGATGGGGCCAACACAATATTTTCTCTTTTTAAAAATTTGTTGCAATTATTATAAATCTCATTAATATAAGGAAAACTATTATACCTCTTATCTTTTTTATATTTGGTATTAAATCTGTTGTTATAATATTGGTTGTGCCACATTTTTAATTTATAACTGGGGTAATTATTCAAAATAAACGTCTTTTCTAACTCTTTTAATTCTATTTCACGATTATTGTTATTAGTAGTTCTTGTATATATGTTTTTTAGACCCATTATATAGGTGTTCTTTTTTATAGTTTCAGGGATGCAGGATTGATAGTTGATGGTTTTATTGACGTTACATGTTTTTTTAAAAGTTTTGAAAGAAAATTTGTTTACTTCGTTGGTAATTGTTATATCTAAAAAATTTATCTGGTTATATTTTTCCAATTCAATATCAAATTTTACATCTTCATTTATATTATTTATAGTTTTTAATATTATTGTATCATTCGTTATTTTATTGTTATAAATCAACAAATAATCATCAACATATCTCATTACTATTTTAACCCCAGGGATACTTTGTATTTTTTCATCTATATTTTTCATCACTAATTCTGCAAGTTTTGGCCCCATCTTTGACCCCATACTGACACCATCTATTTGTCTATAGTAATCATTATAAACTTCAAAATAATTTCTGGTATATGCAAATTTTATAAGATCAATTAGTGTTTTATCTATTTGTAGTTGTATTAGGCTGTTTTCTATTAATTTCCACTTTATATTTGGGTACATATTTTTTACATCTAAACTAATTAATGTATCTGATTTTTCTTTTTTTATTTTTTGGATGTTATTAATGACTTCATCAGCATTTTTAATGCTATTGATGGAACCTTTAATGTTTTTTAATTGCTGTTTAATATAGTTTTCTAGATTGTAAAGTATAGAGTATCTAAAATCAACTATTGGTCTGTATTTCTCTTCCTCTTTATGTGTTTTTAGTCTTATTTGTAATTTTGGAGTCCTATTATTTTTAAAATTAAGAATGTAATTTTTATCAGTTTCATTAATTTTGTTCTTTAAATATGCGTCTTTAATTATTTTAGTTAATTCTTTTTTGATTTTCTCATATGGATTTATATCAAGTTTTATATATTGATCATTATCTATTTGTTCTATAGTTTTATTTTTTAAATTATCACTATTAATTAATATTAATTGCTTAGTTTTATCAGCTTACTATCAATCCTGCATCCCTGAAACTATAAAAAAAGAACACCTATATAATGGGTCTAAAAAACATATATACAAGAACTACTAATAACAATAATCGTGAAATAGAATTAAAAGAGTTAGAAAAGACGTTTATTTTGAATAATTACCCCAGTTATAAATTAAAAATGTGGCACAACCAATATTATAACAACAGATTTAATACCAAATATAAAAAAGATAAGAGGTATAATAGTTTTCCTTATATTAATGAGATTTATAATAATTGCAACAAATTTTTAAAAAGAGAAAATATTGTGTTGGCCCCATCTTTGACCAATAAAATTTCGCGTAGTATTTATAATAATAATAATAAATATAAAATAAAAGTGGATAATTTAAAAAAATCAGGTGTAGTATATAAAATTAATTGTGATTGTCAAAAACCGAAAAATTATATAGGTGAAACAAGTAGAACTTTAGAATTAAGAATTAAAGAACATGAAGCAGCTATTAGACTAAAACATAATAATTCTCCGTGGTTCGACCATATAAAAAATAGTAAATGTAAAATAGATAGAAATAACATAAAAATAATTCACTTAGAAAAAGATATGTATAAACGCAAATTTAAAGAACATATAGAGATTATAAAATGTAAAGATGATTTAATAAACATTTCAAATGGTATGCAAATAGATCAAATGTGGTATAATATAATAGAGGGCGCTAATAGATAAATTGGTTTGTAATGTCTGGTGACATAAAATATTAAAGTGAAATATATTGTAAAAGTGTGAATGTATCCTCTTAAGTGTGTTAATAGTAATTAACCTGAAAAAAACGTTCATTATTGCTGCAACATTTCAATAAAGTGCATACGAATTTTTCTTGAAAAAAGTTGTAATTGTAAAGGTTTTTATGAACATTTGTAAAGTGTGCAACGTATTAATGTGAATATGTAGTTGAAGTGTTTTTTAAATGGCTGTATTTTTATACTTTTACAACGTTACCAATTATACACCGAAGTTTTTAGAAAACAGAATCTGAGTTTGTACTGAAGAGGGACTTAAATTACAATTGAGTCCGAAATGCATATAACAAATCAATAAAGGAAATTCATAACCTGAATGCTGTATATGATAGTCTACCGAACTGAAAATCGGATTAAAGAGACAAATTCATAACGAAAATAGCAGCAGCCATAAGTGATTTTCTGAAACAAAATATTTTAGCTTTGAATTTTGATTCAAACCTAAAAGACATTCTTTCCATCAAAATAAATACATTATCTTAATTCATGAAATATTAAGTTATTGTTATATGTTCAGGAAATAAGGTCACAAGTTATGAGTTCAAATCATCTAATGTTTTTTAAGTTATTTATTGATTTAATTCTCACTATGTTATTCACATAACACAATATGTAATTTCTCAAAAAAATCTTTTAAGGAAATTAGATACTGTAAATATTTACTTTGTAATCATACTTGGATCTTTTCTTGGTGGTTTTTTTCTTCACAGTTTCCTTGTTTACCATTATTATTTTTTACTATAATTAGTTTGAACTCAAGAACAATCAGTTACTATTTTCTTTATTGTCATTTTCCTGCTTAACACACTTATTGCTTTCATGTTTCCTTAGTTGTGAGCCAAAAAATTTTCTTTTACAGTTTGTTTAGATTTTTATTATATTTATGTTAAAAACATCAAAGAAATTATGTTCTTAAAAGTGCAAAATAAACAATAAAAACTTATTTTTAAAATCAAATAATAAAATTTTCTGAGTGAAAAATGCATCAAACTTTTACACTGTTCCTCAGAAGGGTTAGCATATGTAGTATTGCATTGTAGACTATTTCAAGGTGTCATTGGCAGTGAATCTGAAGTTTGTTAAGTTATTAGCAGTTTCAATGAAAACCCAAAGAATCTAATAATATCTTAATAATTGGATTTTTATTATTTTTCTTCAGGATTTGAGAAGCATATGATGATCTTGAAAACTAAAATTCTCAATAATAATACCTTATATCTAAGTGTATTAAATGGATGGTAGTGAATGAATAAACAGACAAAAGAAATTCAAGATAAACATGTCTAGTATTTCTTGCAGAGTTTTAAAATAATATTTTGTAAAGTCAGTCAGTGCTTTCCTGCAT